CCCCCCCCCCCCCTCCTTCATTGCGCCTAGCTTAAATGTTATTTAAACGGTTAATTGCAAGATTTTGGCATAACAAACAAATTCCATGTCAAATCTAAATTATAACTTTTCTAATTCTAAACAATAAAACAACATTCCAACCTTTGTTTTCAAAAAAGAAAAAGTATCTTTTTCTCAAACTTAATTTTTGATTAAAACTGATGCTTTAAGAATATATATTTTTCACTTACTATAAAAACTTATACCTTTGCAGCGTGATATATACGTTTGATTGTCAAATATAATTTCTGCTCGATCGAAAGTTTAAAAGATACCAAGGCGCTTCGCGCCCTTCTTTCTAGCCTTAGAGGGCGCTTCGCGCCCATCTTCTAAATTAGTTGTGAACATGTTCTCTTTGTGTACATCGTAAAACAAAACAAGAATAATTCGCGGATTTTCACAAAAAATTTCGCGGATTTTCAAAATTTTTAAAAATTTAATGACGATCGAATTTTGATGGAGAAAAATATTTGAAATTTTGATTTTTCATAAACCTTCCCTGGGGTCCCTAGATGTCCCACAAAAAATTTGGGCCCGATCGGTTCAGCCGTTTTGACGTTTATTGGATACAAGCAGACAAACAAACAAACAGACAGACAAGCCAAATTTATATATAGATTTGGATTAGAATCAAAAGTTTGAGGCAAGTTAAGTGTTTTTTTTTAATTCAACTCAAATAATAAAACGAAATGAAAGCTTAAAAATCCTTTAAACAATTTACATTTCAATATATTCTGAAATAATGTTTTAAAACAGGTTTAGATAATATAAAATACGATATTTAATAATAATTAATTCCAACCTTTCTCAACTCTGACAGTAAATTAATTATGATTGAAGTAATACATTTCTTTTAGATTAGATTTCACTGTTCCCTGGGCGGATGGAAGAGCACTGCACTGGGATGTAATTAATGAAATGGTGGATGAACCATCAGGGACCTTTAATAAATAGCGAGAACTAGCTGAACTATGCAGATTAGGTTGAACCACTTCTATTTAACGTCTACTAACGACCATGGAGACTAGATTTATTGGATTTGAGAGAGGGCGCTGAACTACATACCGCCGGTTCAAATCCCGATTTAAAGTTAAGGATTCGTGAGATTTGAATCGGCGGTAGGTAGTTCAGCGACCTCCCCAAATCAGAAACTAGATTTAATAAAGAGAATGAATTTCACGTGAAACTAGACAGAATGACTTTCCTGTCTGTCTCAAAATGTTTTCATCTCTAATTCAAAATATTTTGAAATTAGCCTGAAATAATTTGTATGCTTAACAATTAAAATATATTGTGTAAAAAAGTAAGCAAGTACGAAATAACATCATTTAACATGGGTTCCAAAGTAAATGCTTGTGGACTTGGGCCTCTTAATTTACCATGAGCTGAACCGCGTTCTCAGTTGATCTACATGCTTCTCCAGGTCAAGCTGAAGAGCAGTCTACTTGGTTCAACCACTTCTCATGTAAGCTGGTTCAAACTGTAAAGAATTGGTTGAACTAGATCTGCATGGTTCAACCATGTCACACTTTAGTCGCTATTCAATAAATTTGGTTCTAGGAAATCACAATTACTACACAGAGATGTCCCAGGATCCTGACATCAGAGCTAAAATTTTCAAAAGGAAATAAAGAATTTTGAAAAACTGGAGAAAAGTCGAATCTTTTAATTTAATTTTGAAAAACTGGATTTTAATTTGTTTATGTCATTGTGCAGGATTTCCAATTAATATTTCTGGTTGTTTTACATAAAAAATACCTAAAATTTCGTAATTTAATAGAATAACATTTTTATAGAATTTTCTAGAAATTATTTAGAAATTTTGAGATTTCTATATTTAATGTTAATGTATTCTCAGATATCTGTCCCACAGATATAACTGAATCAGGAACTCCAGGTTCACACAAATACTATAGCCAATATCAATCTAGATACGGCTCAGTCTGTATTCTCAGGTATCTGTCCCACAGATATAACTCAATCAAGAACTCGATGTTTACACGAATACTATAGCCAATATCAATCCAGATACGGCTCAGTCTGTATTCTCAGGTATCTGTCCCACAGATATAACTCAATCAAGAACTCAATGTTTACACGAATACTATAGCCAATATCAATCCAGATACGGTTCAGTCTGTATTCTCAGGTATCTGTCCCACAGATATAACTCAATCAAGAACTCAAGGTTTACACGAATACTATAGCCAATATCAATCCAGATACGGTTCAGTCTGTATTCTCAGGTGTCTGTCCCACAGATATAACTCAATCAAGAACTCAATGTTTACACGAATACTATAGCCAATATCAATCCAGATACGGCTCAGTCTGTATTCTCAGGTATCCGTCCTACAGATTCAACTGAATTTATATCCCAATCTAGTTCTTTATTTCAAGAGGGGGATTCAGGATACTTCTCATTTGAGAACCAATAAATGTATTTTGAACTTCTATTAGGGTTTCCACGAAATGGCTAAATCTTTTGCGCAAAATTTGCGCTATTTTCGCGCAAATTTTATTTTTGCGAACTTTTGCGCTATTTTTGCGCATGAAACGCAATGAGTTTTGCGCGGTTTTGCGCTATTTATTTTGCGCAATTTGCGCAAAACAGGAAATATTTTTTGCGAAAGTTGCGCATGAAACGAAATTTTAGTTTTGCGCAATTTTTTTTGCGCAATTTTTGCAAAACCGCAAGTTTTACGCAAAATGTAACTTTTTAGGGACATTGTCAAAAATTGATATTCTAAGCTTAGAATTAAACAACTGAAGATTTATTCCATATACAAAAAAAATATTAACATATGAGTATGATAAAGATTATACTACACTCAATTGGTTACTTCCAGTTGCAAAAAGTTTAAATTAAGGGACCAAAATTAATAAAATAGAAATTAGAGAGTGTGAAACTTGGCAATATTTTAATCCTATTAAATAATTTCAAGTGACCCGGCCTTAAAAGCTTTGCTTAATCATGAGTATAAATTGTATTCTTAAATTTTTTTAATCAAATTTCTGAAATCTTTTTAATCTCATATAAAATAATGCAAGAAAGTAACCAATGCCTGAAGAATCCACTTTTAGGAAATATGCATGTCCAAGACTAAAATTGTCGAGAAAATTGTGAGATTTGAACTCTTCTTAATTGTCATTGGTCAATTATGTAAAAGTGACCAATAGGAAGACATTCCAAAACAAGATTTTTCCAGAATTGAATTCTAAGAAACACACACGTACCGTCACCAACCGTTTAATTTTTACGAAATTGCGGAACTGCGGATTTGCGAAAAACTCTTGTTGCGGAATTGCGCAAAACTTGAGTTTCGCAAAAGCGGAATAGGGCAATTTTGCGCGAAATGACTTTTGCGAATGATTGCGCAAATTGTTGTTTTTTCGCGCAAAATTGATGCGCAAAGAAAGAAAAATATTGCGTTTCGTTCCGCAAAAATTGCGCAAAAGTTTTGCGAATGGAAACCCTAACTTCTATGTTATAGGTAGCTAATTAATAATGGACTACATAGTTCAGGTTTACAGATAAATGGTTATGCGATATTTATTATAAAGGTGCCGTAGTTAATCAGGCATGCCACTCTTCGAATGTCTACACTCTTTAACAAAGAACTCTGGGTTTAATAATTCAAAATCATTATTTAAGGCAGAATAAAAACAACTTACGGTAATGGAGCTGAACTGAGAATAGCATTTTTTTAAACTAAATATTCTGCCATAATCTTTAATGAAACAGTTTAATTGATTTGTAAATTCTTGTTTTTATATGGCACAGCTAAATAGAGTTGCTATAGCTCTTTTTAAAAAAACTTTAATTCTTTATATTTTTCTATCAGAGTAAAAGAGTTATCCCCGAAGACAGCACTGTTCCTGAATGACTATGGAATTATTACAAACAATAACAACCGGTTTCCGCTATACCAACAGCTCATCAGGTTAATACATTTTTTACAAAATAATAATCTAAAGTTTTCTAGTTTAAAAGGGGGTTTATTTATCAGACAAATCCTTTAAGTGTTTCGGAAATTCCACTTTATAAATGTAGGGTCTAATAAAAGTACACGTCTATACTCTATAGATGCTAAATCAACTAAAAACTGCTAAAGAGAATTGCTGGCGGCAGGCGCCCCTATAGACGGCATTGGCCTTCAAGCTCATCTTCATTTAGATCGGTAAGTTTAGTGTTTAATGTTTAATGTTTCATCTAAGACCAGTATTTTTCAACCAATCAGAAGCCATTGAGTTGGACCCGAGCAAGAACATGGCGTAACTAAGACTTGAGCCTAAATAAGTTTAGGCTTCAATTTTAAAATATAAGCATTTAATCACTTGCCCCTTTTCTCTAAAGTAAAAATGCAAACTCTTATTTGATTCTCAGAAATTGAAATAAAGATTCTAAATTTTCAAATTGCACATGAAATTCAAATTTTAAAATAATAACAAACCCATGATTAATCCTAGAGTGAACCCTGTTGAGTTTAAGGAACGTATTGAGATCCTACACCAAGAGTTTGGAATTCCAATCTGGATAACTGAGTTCGACTGGAATGAAGAGGTTTTCAAAAAAAATTAAAAATACTTCAAATTATCTTTTAATGCATCTACCTTTGTTACCGTGCCGGATAATATGTTATTTTTGTCGGGATTTTACTGTATTTGTTTGTTCAAGGTTTTAATTCAAGGTCAATTCCATTACAAAAAATTGAAAAATCCGCGAAATATATAAAGAAACCTGATTTGCCGTTATAATATGTTACTTATTTGCCTTGGAACAAATAAGACATTTTATACTAAAGATCATAAAATTATGATTAAAAATTATATTTTTTTAAGGGGATTGCAGCTGATCCGGAAAAATTAAAGCTGGGGCGGGAATTGGAGGATTTTTACCGAGTTATGTTTAGCTTGGAGGTGCGTTCAATCAATCAATCAATGTTTCGTTTTAATCAATTGATCATTCATCAGTGTATTTTAATCAATGTATCATTATTCAATGGATTCTAATCAATTAATCATTCGTCACCATTTTAATCAACTATGTATTCATCAGTGCATTTTATTTGTTATTGATCATTCAAAAATGCATTTAAAACAACTTGTGATGGATGATCACATCCATCTACAATTTAATAAATTGTTAATTAATTAATGCATTTTTATGAACTGATCATTCAAAAGTGCATTAATCCATTTAAGGGTGTTGAGGGTATCATGATGTGGGGGTTCCAGCGAGATTATTTTTCACTTGTTGAAAATGATTTAACTCCAAACAAAGCTGGAGAAGCTTACATTAGGTAAAAACCTGAAAAAGGGAGAAATTACAATTTACAATTTTACATGTTTGTTCAACAGAGCTATAAAGATAGAGTTTAGATGTATTTGTAAATATTATTTTAAAAAGATCTCTCACACTGGAGGCGCTAGTATGAAGTTTATTCATGTAGTTTGGGTTGAATCAGCTGAAACCCTGTAAAAGAAAGCAAGCAGAATCCTGTTTTCTCTCCACGCCAAGGGGAGGGGGTTCCAGCTAGCCCAGGCAGGAAAAGGGTGGAAGGGTTGGGCTGGGGATGTAAACTCTATTTTTCTCTTTTGTTTGTTCAGGCTTTTTCATGAAGAATGGAGGAGCAACATGGTTGTTCCAGGAGAACAAAATCAATTTGATTTCAGGTACAGTGGCACCCATTAAACTTTGGAGTTGGAAGAGGACTGTGCGCCTAATGATGTGATTTAAAATAGTCCAATTAACATAAAACACAGCAATTGTCCACTTGGAAATCTACTTAACATCTAAAGGATGTTAATTTCAAGTTAATATTAAGTTTATTCAATAATCTTTTGTTTTTTAGAGGGTTCAGGGGAGATTACGCCATTAGTATTCTATCAGGTATTTAGATATATAAATAAAGTTAAAGAAATTTCCGGTTAAATCAAGTCTCCTGCCTTTTAAAGAAAGAAACCAGTTTTAAAGTTACATTAAGTATTTATAAATAAAAGGAAACAGACAGTATTAATTCCCTAAAGTCGTCAATGAAGTCTCATTATCTGTAAATATTATGTATGGGGGGATATAGTATAAAGACATTCCTTAAAGTCTGATTTGATTTGATTTTATCCCTTCCAGGAGACGGAGTTCTGGTAGACGACTTGAGGTTTACTGTTGACCAAGACACTGAGCTGACCTGCACCCTGACTAATGGTCAGTTGACCTGCTGACCTGCAACCTGACTAATAGTCAGTTGACCTACTGACCTCAATTCTCAGTAGTGATCAGCTGACTTGCACCATCATTAAAGGTCATCTCCTACCCTGCATCCTCAATAAGCTGTCAGCTTACGCTCAATACGCTGTCAGCTTACGCTCAATAAGCTGTCAGCTTACGCTCAATAAGGTTTAAGCTTACGCTCAATAAGCTGTCAGCTTACGCTCAAAAAGCTGTCAGCTGACGCTCAATAAGCTATTTTCACCTTAACTAGCGGTCAGCTGACCTTCACCCTCACTAGACGTCATCTCCTATCCTCCAACCTCACTAGCGGTCAGCTGACTAAATCTAATTTATATCTGATGCATTTATGTCTAAATTAATGTTAAAAAATGCCAAAATAAATTAGGGGGCTTTCATATATTAATCGTGTATATATATATATTGTGGGTAACTCTGTATAAAAGATAAACAAGATATATCATAAATACGTTATAATTCATCTAGATATAATAACTAGAAGTAAATACTCATTTTATATAAATAGTTTATTTCACGAGAAAGATGGAATATAATTTCCCATCAATGCACATTAATTTTGCATTTAATATCTCATTAATGTATTCATAGGTTTCCCACCCAGCTCCCAGTTTTATTATCAGTTATAAAACTGTCATTAACACCGCCCCTACACTTCATAATTACCCCCTCCCCTCCCCCCTCACCTTTCCGGCACTTTAGTTTTCCAAAAGAAATATTTAGAGGCTCAGGAGAATTTTTGTAAATAAAATTAAAATATATCTCACTATTGCCCCCTCTTTTAATTATATAAATTTCTGTTTTCACAATCTTACAGAATACCCCCCCCTTTAACACCACAGGCCCAACCAACAACCTATATAATAAATTAATACCCCCCCAATATGCCAAACCATCAATCTAAAAGTCAATTGAACAAAATCGTTTCCTTTTTGGTTTGACTGATATAGATAAATAGATAGATAGACAGATAGATAGATAGATAGATAGATAGATAGATAGATAGATATATAGATAGATAGATTGATAGATTGATAGATCGATAGATATATAGATAGATAGATAGATGGATAGGCAGATAGTTGGGTAGTCTCTAGGTAGGTACGTATGTATAGGGTCAATATATAAAGATTATTAAATGCTGGTGCAGAGATTCAAATATAAATCAGTTTCTAGGACTACTTTAAAACTTAACTGATCATGGAAAATGGATGCGTATTTAAACTTGGTTGAATACTTTATTTTCGAATCCATTTTTTTTAATTTTTATGTTTTACTTTTATGTTCAGCTTTATGTTTTATATAGATATAATTGTGTAGGCATAAGCATGAGACATACCACGATTTATTTTATGAAAATATAACAACTGACTTTATGACGATATATAGTACAGGATAGTACAGGATAGTACAGGATAGTACAGGATAGTACAGGATAGTACAGGATAGTTTTCCGTGAAAAATTCTTTCGTCATGTAATAAAGATATCAGAAGATAGTGATGTATTATGTATTGATAGAAATATCCTGAAGATATCCGGCAATTTAACCATCAGATCTATTTACACAAACAGAACATTCCGGTCCAAACACAGGGGTTTCAATATAAAAATAGAAGAAATTTACAAAATTAAAATCATTGTAAAAAAAATCGACATTTTTCTGACGTTCTTTTTGAACTTTTAAAAAAAGTTCCCTGTAGTAGCACCCTAACCATTAAAGTCTAATTAAAGTCAAATTAGGTACATGTATGTATCACACATCCCTATCTAACCTCTAAGGACAAAATTAAGAAAAAAAACATGATTGGATATTGAAAGAAACTAAATACATTTTAAAGTTAAACCACTTCAGGTTCCATAATTTACGGATTATTATAGTTAGATTAGATGTTGATCGTTCTGTAATAGTAGAGTACAAAATTATATGTTTTCTTCAAAAGATCAATGATATTGACCAAGAAAAACTAAAACTAAAATACATAACTTTAAAATTGAACAAGAAAGGTTACTTAAATAAATTAAAATCAAACAAAGGGCTGCGACGCCTTGCAAATCTTAAAACAATAAAAATTGCAAGAATTAGCAAATCTGCTAATGTCGACTGTAAGCATCATATAAATTCTTTGATATTAATATTTTAACGATAACTTAATGACATTACGTGGTTTCCGTTGTAATATTTAAACCGATAATCTACAGAAAACGTGATGTTAAAATATCAAATAAATTAAATATTCTATCATATACACCTGTACACTGTATGTATCTAGTTTTATTCAAGGCCTATAGTGGTAAAGTAGGACACTTTTAATTCTCGATAATAATCTTTATTAAAAAAATTCAATTTTGGTCAAAAATAGCAATATCTACTCAAACGATGCAAATTTTACTAAAATGGACTAAGAACATAAATATTAAATCCTTGTTGATATTTTGTGCAGAATTTACAGGGTAAAAACATTGACAAATCGTAAAAATACCCAGTTTTTAAATCTTAAAATTTTAATCTGAAAATTCAAAACTATAAAAATGATACGCCCCCCTCTAACGCTTACCTTCGTTCTATAGACGTTGGTAATATTTACATAATGTATGCAGTGTGCTGTCTTAGACTAAATTTGGAGGCTTTAAGTATATATTTAAGGACTACAAAGAACGTGTCGATGAATGATTAGGATTAAGTTCTAATATTTGAATCCAATATTTTGATATCATCATCTTCAATCCTTCCTGTTATAGGACTTTAATTTTTAATTTTCTGAGTCCGAATTTAATGAATTTGAGCCGCGTCTTAAATCCGCCGAAAACCTGTTTCAATTAAACGCCGGCTATAATCTTGGAACATTGAATTCAATTTTAAGTGGAACCAACCATATTTGAGCTACGTCTCAAATTTAAGTCGCGGCTCAAATTCCTTAAATTCGGCCTGAGTTCAAATAATAGAGAAAAGAGAAAAATAATATAACGTGCTTCCATTTCAACATTTTATTTAAAACTACCCTGGGAACCCCAGTTTGCCTGAAGTTAACCCACTTAACTTAGAATTTTTAATCTAGGCTACTTGGTTTCACTAAGTTTTCCAATCCAAATATATAAGCCGAATCTGCCAAGGGGGGTTTTGAGTTATGATCTAATCAAACAGACAGACAAACAGATATTACTACTTTATGCATATAGATGAAAACAGATATTACTACTTGCCCCCTCTTNCTACTTTATGCATATAGATGAAAACAGATATTATTACTTTATGCATATAGATGAAAACAGATATTACTATTTTATGCCTATAGATGAAAACAGATATTTCTACTTTATGCATATATTTCCACATGGATTTATTGAAAATCAAGATATTTACAAGATTAATATTTTATGTTTATATCTAACTTTCCCATCCCTTTGCCCTGTTCGTCGCTATATTTTGGAATACGATTAATCTTGTCTTTTGGGTCCGGTTATCATTTACACAAAAACATGGATTTGCATAATATTCTGGTGGAACTAAGAAAGTTACATCTGCAAACAGATTCTCGTCTTTCTCATCTTAGGCGTAAGGAGCCATGCTTTCGTTTTAGGATCAATATCCCACAACCTCTTACTGAACCAGACCCTGCTTCAAAAGCTCTATAAGTCTTTTTTTATATGGAAAATAAGAATTTAAAAAGCTATAGCTCCGAAAACAATTCTACATGCAGCTCTACCATATTGAAGCCCAGGTTGTCATCATAATGATCTCGCCTGTCTAGTCTGACAATCCCGGAGCTACTAGCTAGAGCCGCAACAAGATTAGTTTTATGCAAAACTTGATAGCTCGACAGACTTAATAGCGAAATAATTGTATTATTACTTCTCCCTTTTCAACTATTAGCTCTACATATTCAGCATGGGACCGAACCGAATCTGTAGAAACTGCTGGAACAACCTAACAATCGTCCGGAGTGGATGTTTTCGACTAGGGAGGTCATTATGTTATTCTGATGGATAACAAATCAGGATGATTTAATGACCTCTGTAGTCGATGATTTCGGTACCAATATCGTCAATATCTTCTAAGTGGCTGAAGCATTAAAACGAGAAACATCCTGTCCCAGCTGCATCTTGTTCAATGTTCATAAATAAGATTATGTTTGCGGATTTGTAAGAATCTGTCTGCGTATTTTCAATCCCTCAGGCAAACCAATAGTTGAAATTTTACTTACTTTATATTTTCATATTTTTTTAATCACACATAATATATATATTTTTTTAAAAGTAAAGATTGCAAGTAAGAAACTATGGTTGTCAAATTTATGCGCAAATTGTAAATAATTTATGTTGATACAAAATCACGTTCGTTTAAATTAGAATCATTAAATTAATCATTATAAAATTTTAGATCAAGGATATATAAAGTTAGTATTGTATTTCAACAGTTTAAAGAAACAATAAATGAATCTTGAACTTAAAAGTCAAGGCTAAAAGTCACGGGAAACAGAGGGGTAGAGGAGGGGGGGGGGGGTGTATTTAAAAAATACTTATTGTATGAAGTATTTTTAGGTATTTTAACAATTCCTTGAACAATTTTTTATAAACTTTTAACCCTTTCCTCCATGAATTGTTTCCACTAGGTGCCTTGACACTTTCGGATCCGACATACTAAAAGTAAAACAGTTGACGTATAACGCAAGAAGCTTCAAATAGAATCATGAAAAGAATTAAAATATCAAATATTATGTTTGAAACTGCATATTCTGAAAATACTCTAAAGGAAATGAGTCTTTGTAACAAACTCTGATTTTCTAATACCTATATTTTTTCACCTGATGGTGTAAACCTTTGATAATTTAAATTTAGAATTCGTTGTTTGAAATATTTAAGGTCTACGGCATTGGGTTACAAAGATATAGAGATTAGAAAATCATAGTTTGTGAAAAAGACTCAATTCCTTTCCACAAAATATTTGCTTGCAAGGTTAAAAACTACAAGGAGCTTGGCTTGAGAACATCTTAAATTGCATCCTTAAATCATTAAATTTAAGTATTTTTATTTTACATTGAAAACATGCACGTTGTCAAAATAAGTTCCCCCTTTTTTGGAAAATAGGTCTTGTTCGTTGAGTCCAGATAGCAGTGAACCGACTAGCCTGGCCACTATAGTTTCAGTAGATTTAGAAGTAAATATTTCGATTTACTGATAGCACCGATTGAAGGAGTTATATCTCTTATTGGATAATGAGATAGAAAGAATTATAGAAATAACCGCCGTACTAGTTCTATTGGTTCAGAATAGACAACAAACACATGACTCAACCGTGATTGGATCAGGCGCTCATGGACTCGGCATCTGCAGGAGTGCGGCAGTTCAAACTTCAAGGATGTTGTAATACACTTGTCTTAATTACA